TTCAAATTTGGGATGATTGCTGCTTAGCGGAAGCCTTCAGCATGACCACCCATCATCATTGGCCTCAATAGGTTCCTGTTCAAATATATAAAAATACTTTTTACGACACAAATCCGGGGTAAAGACTGAGCGGAATAAAGCGAAATGGCCCGACGTCTTCCCCGTGGGGTCGGTCTTACGTCAGTGATCAAATGCCGGGTAGACCATGCATCAATAATATGTTCAGGGGAAGGGGAGCCAACTTCGCAGAAACGCGCTAACGGTTTTGGGAAGATTACGCGGTGCTTTCCTACGCGAGGTTGACTGCACTGATGAGTAGGTAGGCGAGGGGTTTCTCACCTGCCCGGCTTTTTTCACTGACTTCAACCCTAAACTACCAAATCCAGAAATTTGTGCGACTAGACAACGTCTTCGTCGAACGCCTTGGAGATCAAACAATGCCACTGCCAAGCAGCGGAGCCAGACACTCAGAACGAATGCGGGGAAAGAAGCGATCACGGAAAGGCTGGTAAGTGCGTGCGTGATTCGCTGGACGGCGCATGGCATCTGCTGATTTACATGCAGCCCAGAATGCCGCAGACGCAAGATCAAGTGTGACGAGCAGCAACCCCAGTGCGGTCACTGCCGGAAGGCGAATCGCAACTGTCGACTGCAAGATTCGATATTCAGGCAACACGAACTATCGATTCGGTTCAATGACTCGGTACAAGGTGACCAAGAAGATGTCAACAACGTGACTGCTACATCTGAGACGGCGTCAAATGCCCCACTTCAGAATGTTGACGCCGGTAAACAACTGAACCCTTCATTTACGGCTGTCTTTTGCTGATAGGCTAAGCAGTGAGTGCAGTGAACTTACCTACGTCTGGTTCACGAGTCAATACTAGCATCTATCGAGAAGGAACAATTGATGCAGACGACGCCCGCAATGACAGTGAACCAGCGACTATTGACGGAGCCGGAGAAGGACAACCCTCACCGGCTACCGACGACCCGCACCTGGAACAAGACAATCTAAGTGTGGGGTTTGAAGTTCATCTCGAAGGCTCTCCTGCACAGCTTGAAGCTTCTGCGGTCGACCCTCTCAGAAATACTCAAGAAGAACTATTCCTCCTTAGACACTACTCAGAGTGCATAGCCCCATGGTGCGTTATCCAATAGGAAATTGGTCTTTTGAGACGAGCTGCTGAAAGGTCAAAACAGGATGGACCTCCTCTATCGTTATGAAGTCTTCAGTCGAGAGGTTTTGACCTTGGCCCGAGACCACCCGATACTCCGCTATGCAGCCTGTGCCGTTGCCGCCAAACAACTTGGCCAGATGCGAAGTCCCTTGTCGACAATTATTACCGGCAAGACTCAACAGGAAATTGCCGCTAAACTCCAACGCGGCCCATTGGGGCTAATGTGGTATGGGGCAAAATACTATGAGAAGGCGATACAAACGCTGGTGAAGTCAATCACTTCAGAACACCCCGCACAGAATTATGCCTCACCGCCGACGTCACTGTCGCAGGGTAATCTCATGATACGAGCAGATGGAGAGGACCCCATCGTAAGACTCCTCGGGACTTGCATCTTAATCCAGTATGAGCAAATAAGTGCGAATAGAGACGCGTGGTCTGGCCACTTGTTTGGTTTCTCCAAGCTGCTCGATCTCATCGACGATGGACGGCTACTCCATCCCGACCCCATGTTCGAGGCAGTGTATCCGTTTACCAAAAACATCATGCAAGTCAAGGCCGGATTTTGGAACTTTGTGGTGAACGATCTCGAGGAATCCTGTAAGTGAAGCAAATACTGGTTTGTTTCTGGGCCCTCGTTAATTCAGTCTCCAGTCGTATCACACAGAAGGACACGTATCGATACGGAGAATCTTGCTCTCTGGCGTAACATGGGTCTTTTGATTGAAGATAATGGGAGTCTGACTACAGGCGCTAGCCCAAACAGCCTCGCAAACACAGCGGAACACGCTAGGGATAAGGCTTTATCCTACACTCTGATACGCTACTTGTGCAAACTGATCAACTATCTAGCACCGTCATCACATCTCGAGACAATGCTGATTCAACCAAGACTGGCTTTCATGTCACTTGAAGGCCATTTCCAAGCCTGGTTTCAGACGATATCCCCGTCTTTCCTTGCGGACGGCACCTTCTTCACGGACAGGGGATCGAGCGAGGCCACACCAGACCTCTTCAGTCGTGAACTTTGGTTCAGCAACGACCTATGTGCTACCACGATGATGTACTATCACATGGCATGCATGCTTCTGCTGATCCACCGTCCATCAGAACTGCTTCCGGGAGACGCTGCTATCGGAGGTCGTACCTCGTTTGATCTTTTGCGGGCGTTTCGTGACGTGGAACATAAACTACAAGGTCACGCATCCGAGGTCATCTCCATTGTGCGTGGGACTCCTTGCGATGCAGTCAGACTTCGTGCCATTCAGCCCCTGTATGTTGCAGGGAGGTGCTGTACTCAGACCGAGGATAGGAATAGGTTGGTTGGCATGCTCCGGGAGATCGAAGATGATCTTGGAATCGTCACAGGGTACCGAGTCGAAGCTTTGCTTCAGGAGTGGGGTGTTGGACGTGAATCTCTTTCACTGGCAACATAGTCATCAGTGTAATAATAGTGAATCCGCTTTCATGGGACAGCCACAGCGAACTAGACTAGGAATACTGACCGTCTATCAAGAAACCTATGACGTAGCAAGGCATGGAACAACTGGGGAAAAGGGCTTTCGGGAAGATGAAAAACAATCTAGCCCAGGAATCGAATACCTCCACTTTTCGCGAAGTCACAGGACTCTCGGTCAAGTTGGAATCTAGAACTGCGGTCCTGGCAATCGATGCAACAACAACTGCCTCATCGTCAATATTTCCGTTTTAGGAAGTTTACGCGCCACCCTGCCCACAAGACGTTGCTGTGCGTCACGAGGGCCACAGCATTGACGATACGAGTGGTTCTTTGAGTATCATGTTTTGAGAAATGACTGATATTTTGAGCAATGAATAGATTACGCCATGCCTCATAAACCCGGGTAATTCTGGCATGAAGGGGCCGTTGACAATGGGAAAGGGTCAAGACAGTTGTTGCACATCAACTAGACGCAGACAATGGGATCTATCAACATGCAGGTATGTGTCGTATGTATCGATTCTTCAACTACCATCTAAACATCACGCAGAATCCTTCATTCGTTCTCAAAGACATCAAAAAGGTCGTCATCGAAGACAGGCCCAAGCCTCAACTCAAAGACGGCCATGATGTTCTCGTACACGTCTCACAGACCGGTATCTGCGGTAGCGACGTCCACTAGTAAGCCAAGCTCCCATGCCTTTCTCAGTGAATGCATATCTAACAAATTGTTCAGCTGGCAACGGGGCCGGATTGGCGAGTACGTTGTCAAAGGCCCCATGGTCCTCGGCCACGAATCCTCAGGCGTCGTAGTCGAAGTCGGCGAACACGTCACGCATCTCAAACCTGGCGACAGAGTGGCCATGGAGCCCGGCGTTCCTTGTCGTCGATGTAGCTACTGTCGCAACGGCAGCTACTTCATCTGCCCGAACATGATCTTCGCCGCAACGCCCCCCATCGACGGTACACTGGCCAAGTACTACATCAACGCCTCGGACTTCTGTTACAAGGTCCCTGATAGCGTATCCATGGAAGAGGCGGCCATGGTGGAACCTCTTTCGGTGGCGTGTGCAATCTGCGAGACGGCTGATCTGAGACCGCACCAGACTGTGCTCGTTCTGGGATGTGGCCCCATAGGAGTCCTGTGTCAAGCCGTGGCGAAGCTTTGGGGCGCCGGCAAGGTTGTCGGGGTTGACGTCGTAGAGAAAAGACTCGAAGTCGCCAGGAGCTACGGCACCGACGCGACGTACACCCCTCCTCGCGCTGGAGAGGGCGTTGACCCGATGGCTCATGCAGAGACTATCGCTGCGAGGATGAACGAGGAGTTGGGTCTGGGAGATGGCGCCGATGTAGTGCTTGAGTGCTCCGGTGCGGAGGCTTGTATACAGCTCGGCGTGTTTGCGGCGAAGAAGGGCGGAACTTTTGTGCAGGCGGGCATGGGCAAAGACGTAGTTGCTTTCCCAATCACTGCAGTTTGCACAAAGGCGCTATGCGTCAAGGGCTCGATAAGGTACAAGGCCGGTAGCTACCCGGCTGCGATTGAGCTTCTTTCTGGTGGCAAGATTGATGTTAAGAGATTGGTAACGCATAGGTACAAGTTTGAGCAGGCTGAAGAGGCGTTCGAGTTAGTCAAGGCTGGAAGGCCTGATGTATTCAAGGTTATGATTGAGGGTGTTCTCGAGTAGATACTGGAAGATAGATACTGGAAAACGAGCCCACACAAAGAGCAGGACATTGTCTTTGGAGACCGATGTGGTAGAACCAACTCCGTTCTAGCCAACATTACGTGGGTTCTTTCTCGGGTTTGATGAATTTGAAGTCAATCACGTTTCATTCTGCAATCTTCAACGCCGAAATTACCACTCAGATTGAATCTCTGATTTCTGGTGGGCTCCGGGAATAATACATAGCATGCGGGATTGCTCTGCATGAAGCAAGATGAGCACCGCTAATACTATAGACTAAAGAGCGGCACGGCCTGCCTCAAGGCCCCGACTGTCCCCTACGCACGTAATGCATTCAGGGGCGTTTTGCGCTTGACGCGGCTGACTAATGCCCCTGGATGACCGCCTTGGAAAGGTTTTCAGCAATAGCGCCGAATTTCGTGGCAGCACAATGCACACCATCACTAATGACCCCCTTTCTATCCAAGTACGAATCGACTTCTTGCTTTATTGTTCATTCCATACCGCAGCCTGGTCATGAGTTCAAAGCCGGGAGCATGCCACAACTGTAGGCGCAGCCGCTTGAAGTGTGACCGATCCCTTCCGCACTGCCTGAAATGCACCAGTAAGGGACAAAGTTGTCTAGGCTATGGCATTCTGTTACGGTGGGAAAATGGTATGGCGAGTCGTGGGAAAATGGCCGGTGTTACATCCGACAACATGAACAAGATCCAAAGGGAAGATACGAGCTCGACTCTACAAGCGGCATGGCCTCCTGTCGTGTCTGCAAATCAGCTCCCGTTCGCTATCTCGAAGCCGAACTCTCCTCGCTCGCTCATAGACCCGCTTGCGCAAGATCTGGATTATCGATCGAGGAGATATCTGAACTATTGTAGGCTACCTTCGCCCGCTTGGCTGCTGTTCACACTAACATTCTTGGTTGAAAGTTGCAAGCGATGTCTGTAGGAACTTTGTTCTCTATGATACCCCCAATGATAATCCATTCCGCGACCTCATTGCGATGGCGTACCAGCAGCCCATATTGTTGCAGGCGATTATCGCCAGTGCAGCTTTGCACATGTCAAACGCCTATCAACAGTCATCAAGTTCTCTGAGCATCTTAACGACGAGGGCTTCGACTCAGGGCAGCACCAGCTTAGCGAGCTCTCTATCGATTGGACCGTACACGACATCTCATCCGGAGACTTTCCATGATGCACTCAGAGCCAAGCAGCGGGCACTTTGCCTGCTGAAGTCTGCTCTCGAGAACACGGCTTCCGTAGATGTTGATGTGACTCTCGCAGTGGTACTTCTCCTCATTGGGTTCGAGCTCATTGACTCTGGGCGGAGCCCCTGGGTATTCCACATCAATGGTGCCAGAACGATCATTGAGAAGCTGATCGCATTCGGTCCAGAGAAAGCGACTGCTTTGAGCCCGCTACGCAGCTGGTTGGTGTCAAACTGTTTGGTGTAAGTCATCGTTTCAAGTAATTGATAGCTTTTAAATTGACATGCACTAGGTATGACCTTCTTGGATCATCATTCGCGAATTCTCATCTACCGTACAGCGGTGGGCTATCGACGACTACTATGTCACTGCTTCAAGATGCAGAGGGCAACCATTGCTCGTCGTTTCCGGCGGCCCTCCTTCCTTTGATACAGGCAGGGGCTGGACTATTGAAGATGAACGACGTTTCCATGTTTCCGGGTAGCTTGATCAATTCAGGACAGCAAGACGCGCTTCATCTCTTACAAGCCGCGAAGTCGTTCGACCCAGCTGTCTGGGCCATCACTTTACAGCCACGCTCCCCTGCCGACGACCTCCTTCATCGCACTATAATTGCCTCTGCACACAAGGCGGCCGTGTGTGTCTATCTCTCTCGCATTATCCTTGCTCTGTGGCCCAATATAGGATTACCAGATGATCTGGAAGTCTTAGCCGCCGAGATCATCACCCATCTTTCCAATATGCACCCAGGAGACGCATTATTCACAGCAACAGCTTGGCCGGCTTTCATTGCTGGCCTTGAAACGGCTGACCCTGCGAATCGTGCTTGGGTAGTGAGAAGATTCCAATTGCTCTGGGGAATGGAGCCTTGGGGGGTTACCAGAGATGCTCTCGAAGCATTGATAACCATATGGGATGGGAGGAGAAACGAGAATTTCGTAACGAGAAACATTGACCGATTCTACGAAGAGGAAGAGAATTGGACTTGGATCCACAAACTGAAGAATATGGGCATCGACTGGTTGATTGCATGATTGTAGGTTGATACCAGATGATATATCATTGGGTTGGTAGAGATCTATTGCCCGCTGACCTGAAATACATAGGAGACTACTATAATCTGAGATCACCCACTGGGTAATAATCATGAGTTTATAACCACCTGGTCTAGCAAAGAATTGTGAGCAGAGGTCTAATGTGGATTCATGCACCTCGCGGAGTACCATCTCTGTTGGCCGATTGCCTTTCGTGCTCAGCCATTGCCTCTTTGAGGAGTTCAGCCTTCTCGTCCGCGGTCAAATCACTACTAGCCTTAGGTACCTTTCCCCAGATCGCCAGAATTAACAAGCTCGTGGCTGCAGCACCCACTCCAAACCAGAATGTGTTCTTGTAACTCTTCCCCAATCCTTCTTCATCTACCGTTGCTGACTGGATGATGTCCGTCAGAGCAAGAACGAAAGCTACACCTAGCTGCAGTACAGAATTAACAACACTTCCAGCCAGCCCCTGCTGTGATGTAGGAAAGGTTGTGGTCACGAAAACTGTCATCAAGATCGTAGACAGATCGATTCCCACGGTGCTGAAGATGACTGCAGGGAAGACCCATGCCCAATAACTTCCCCCAAGGGGAATCAGAGCTATGAGAAGTTGTGACCCTACGGCTCCTAGACCGGAAATGATCAACAGCGCACGCCCTGGAACCAGGTGCAAAATGAAGCCTTCGATGATGCTGAGAATGAGGCCTGCAACACCGAGAGGCACATACCACGCTACCACCTGCAACGGACTGGCAGACATGATGTTCTGGAAGTAGAGTGTGCCGTAGACAGAGAAGATGCCCCATGTGCCGTAAAGCAGAAAGAGAGCCAACAGGAGAGGGCTCATGCAAGGTGTAGTGAAGATCGAAGCTGGCAAGAGAGGCTGAGCAGAGATGCGCATTTCGATGTAGACTGCCGCAAGGAGTGACGCGACACCAAGTATGAGACAGATTGGAATATATGGCGTTCTCCAACCTGCAGGGGCGTGTGCTGATTGCAAGATGGAAAACACCACTAGAGTGAGGCCACAGACAATCGTGATGGCGCCGGGGTAGTCCATTTTGGCTTTGGTTGGGGGTTGGTCTTTCGCGGGTTGATCCTTTGAATGAGGACGCGGAATAGACAAGACTGAAGTTAACAGCGTAATTGCCGTCAGAATGGCCCCGATCCAGAAGTAAAAGCCCCAGCGCTTGAATTGCCCCACGATCCCTGCCACGAGAATGCCACCAAAAAATCCTAATACCGCTGAAGTGCCGTATACTGCAAAGACGAGGTTTTTGCGTGGCCCAGGACGATACAAGTAACCCATCAGCATAACACCAGTAGGTAAGAACGCCGCAGCCCCTAGCCCTTGGAGAGCCCGGCAGAAGTCAAGCATCAGCGGATTGATGCTGAACCCGGCTATTATGCTCCAGGCAAGAAGCCAGGCAAGACCCCATATGAAGACGGGATATCCACCCCACATATCGCCCAGCCGGCCAAAAACGAGTAAGGTACTGGCGATAACAAGAGAGAAGGCGGTCGCTGGCCATACGCTGGCTGCCTGCGGGATGTCGAGCTCTCTGATCAGTGTTGGGAGAATGACGGTGAAGCCCGAGACGAAGTATTCTGTCAAGAATTGGGACATGGAGATGCTGAAGACGAATATTATCTCGCTCCAGCGGGTTATAAAAATCGGAGGGCGCTCACGGCCAAGATGCTCGATTCGTGTTTGGAGGGATTCGTCAACTTCGGGTCTGGTTTCCGCAGTGTCATCGCGGTCCGGAGAAGGATTGTCGTTTAGTAGAGGATCGATCCTTGGTGCTAGAGCCCCAGGGCTACATTCCCCCGGCGAGATTGTCGATGTTGCGAAAGTGTTGCTCAAATTCCGCTGAGGCGGTGATGCACGTAGTGATGGTCGTGTCATTGTCTTTCAAATACAAGATCCGGAATTCGCGCAGATGTGTAAGGTAACGAGCAGAGGCTCGGCTATGAGAGAACGAGGACAACAGGTCTTAAAACATTCTTCTGTCAGGTAAATCACCATCTCATTTGTAATTCAAACTCCCGAAGATGTAAATTTTCGGGCCATTGAGGTTGTATGGCAACCTAACTCCACCGCCAACAGCTTCCAAGGGTTTGAAATGTTACACAGGTACTGGCTTATACGTGCCTGTACCTAGTCCACACACCCGTCTCGCTGAGTGGCTTTGTATCTGTTTGTTCTTACCACTAATCGTCAAGTTTCCTACTAACAAAATTGAATCACGACCGTTTGGGAATTCCTAGCGACCTATCAGCTATCCTTATTGCGGACGAATGAGGTTGAAAACCACTATGTTCACTATGATCCCCATCACTGAGGTCTGTAAAGCTTGCCAGACGAGGCGTCAGGGGATGTGACGCTAATGCACGACATGCGTCTTGGCTGCCTATTTGGGGTTAGCTCAATCCCTCTGCCAGCATTGTGATTGGGTCGAGATTCAACCACGATCTGTAAAGGCTACACTCTACTTGTCAATTTGTGTTGTGATAACATCAAGTGTCAGTTGGGAAGTGAATTGTGTCGTGATGGCATGAAGCTTTTGTCAGCTGGGATTGGAAATCCAGGTGTATTTGTAATCCAAGGCCAGTCTTTATATCTCGTGAACTGCAGTGTTGCCAGTAGATTGGCTGCTTGCAAAATTCGGTCTTGCGTATCGCTCCGAAACACATCTTTTCTACTTCTGCACATCTCACAATGTCACCAGTGATACATTGTGTCCGCCATGGACAGGGCTTCCACAACGTTGGAGCCGGATGTTATACCCTTCCTGATCCTCGCCTGACTCCCTTGGGTGAAGAGCAGAGCATGCTTTTGCGCAAGACCACCTTCTCAGATCAGTCAAAGATATCCCTTATCCTTTCTTCTCCGCTTTGCCGAACACTTCAATCTGCCAACTTATTGTTTCAACCTGCCCTCATGGCCAGCAATAAGTGTCACCCTGAGATTGTCGCCATTCCCGACGCTCAAGAAACCTCGGATGACCCGTGCGATGTCGGCACTGATCCAGCAGTCCTCCGCCGAGTTGTAGCCGAGAACAAGTGGCCCGTCGACCTCTCCCTAGTCAACGACAGCTGGAACGACAAGGCTTTAGGGACTCGCTATAGCCCAGAAAGCAGCGCTATAGCAGCCCGCGCCCGCGACGTCCGCTTCTTTATCCGACAGAAGATCCGACAACTGATCGAGCAAGGCGATACAGACCCTCAAATTGCGCTCGTAACCCACGGCGGTTTTCTGCACTACTTCGCCGATGATTGGGAGGACTCATGGCTGAACCCTGGAACGGGATGGCGGAACTGCGAGGTCCGATCCTACGAATTCGAAATAGACGTCATGAAGGATACAGATACGGAGGCCAGGCTCATTGAGACAGCGGAAAGTCGACTGAAAAGGGGAAAACCCAATCCTCAACCTTCTAAGGAAGAGCAGGCGGGGCTGTTTGAGCAGACAATGGAGAATTGGGAAAAACAGGGGCTGAAAAGACCTGACAGAATAGGACTCCATATCTGAATAGGTTTATTGAGTAATAACATGTGATGATGCGGCAATCATGCACTATATCTATAGGAACAAGATGTAATGACTCGTTCGGGTGTGTTCGTGACTGGTGCGGCCTTGTGGGTGATTCATCGACCCTATGAAAGCATGGCGCGTCCCTTCCACCCCTCAGTTGATACCAATCCCTCCAAATTTTAGGCAACCTACCATCTGAGGAACCTCGACCTTTGAAGTGGTACCATCGCCTCGCATGAGCTTTACCTCCCCAGTAGACATGTAGCAAGCATCGGATAGCATCGCCACGCATACCTTAGGATGGGGATTTTCATGCCACTCAAAAACAGGTTTCGTTCCATTATGGTTGGGCCGATTAATGGGCTCTCTCCCGTCAAAATGATCGATGAAATCTCTCCTTTCCCAAACTGGTCAGTGGTAACTGAAAGCAACGTTTGAGTTCCACCCGAAAATCGGCTTCCCTCACAAGCGCAGATAAGCACTGTGGCGAGATCTATATGTAAATAGCGAGAGGTGCCCGAGTAGTTGACCCCACCGTCCGGAGAAGCCCCGCAGGCTTGAGCCTGGGAAATCTCTGCCGCTGCCGATGGATAAGTATATGTGCGGAATGCCCCAGAAGTGGCATAGCGCACAGCATACCACAGAGAAAAATTGTCGTATTCACCATTGGTCCCCAGATGAAGCTACCACCTGACACCAAAGCTGAAATCATCTCAACTTTCTTCCCAAGTCACCAGTGTTTCTATATATCTCCCAACATAGCACTTGCTTCTTGTGTTGGCAATACTTTCACTCAAACATCGATGTTCTGCTAGAAGAGGATGTCTGAAGAACAAGGGTATGGCATTGAGTTCAACGCGGCTAAGCAACTTGCTTATGCTCCTCCATCATCGATCCTGACTATGAAGGATCTTATTCCCGAATCTACCGCATTGCCTCCCGTGGCCACTGCCGAGCCTTTCCCGTTCCTTCTCTCGGTGTCTTACTGCACAAAGATGGACTCTTTGGCAAGGACGTTCTCGATCGTTACCCCCACAATACACGCCCTAGATCCGTTCAACTCCGTGGCATGGCTCATTATTATACCCCTTTTATTCATCAATTATGGGATTAACCTAAGGTTCTGAGGATCGTGAGTGATCTCACTGGAGTTCCACTCATTCCTGCCCTCTACTACGAATTCACAGCCAACTGGCGACTTTCAGCAGCTATCAGCTCAGATCCCTACCGCGGACAGTCTCACGATTGGGGTTTCATCCCGCCTGTACTTCATGAAAAACGGAGAACAGACCTTTGACTGGGACTCATGTGTCAGTGAATGAAATCCGTACACTGGCCGCAGTTCGAACTTCATGCGGCAGTCGTGCGTATTACGGGTTTTCATGGTATCCTGCTACCAACAAGACAAGCACGGCTGTATCCCACTGACGCCGGCGCCATCGTAGTTGGCACGCAGAAGTTGTCACGATGTGAGAACGGAGAAGTTGCGACAGCATACTGGGTCGATTGCCATGGCCCTTCCAACCCACGCGCGGGTGGGTACCAGGACACGGCGTCGTCATCTACTAGAGCAGGCTCATCCATGGCCTCATGCGAGTGGCTCAACCTTGCGGTTGGCTGCGATACAGGAAGCTCGATGCGTGGTTCTGCTGGGCTTGGAGGACTCTTCGGTAGTCGCCCTACTCACGGCACCGTGCAGCTTCGTCACGCCATGCCCCCTTTCCCAACCATGGACACCGCAGGATTCTTGGCCCGCGACCCAAGCTTAATGGACGCCAAAAGCAAAGAACTCTACAAGAGCAACTATACCTCGTACGACGACGGCAGTTTGGAGTACCCGAAAACTCTATACGTGCTCGACTTCCCCACGACAACTTCTGCGTCATCACAACGGATCCTCAAGTTCTCTCAAGACTTGGCCCTGGCCGCCTGTCTCCATACGATGGTCACCACAATGAGCCTCAAGAATGCATTGGAAGCCACAGCTCCGGCTGTATCGACGCAGCCGTTGTCGGAGTTTCTGAGCCTTACTTATACTTTTGTCATTACCAAGCATCAGACCAGATTCTTGCGGGATCCTCTCTACAGAGATTATGCACGTGACTGATACACGGACTGCTATTCTCGTGGACAAAGCTGACCTATCTTCTCCCTTTTCAGCTGTACACGATGGCCGTTTGCCTTTCGTCGACCCTGTACCCCCCATGCGCTGGGCCTGCGGCGATACGCAGCCCGACAGCTACCACACCGCCGCAATCCACAACAAACCATGTTCACGGAATGATCCAACAGCAAGGTGCTTCCCCGGAGTCTAATAGCAGTACTTGTGCTTCTGCAATCTTGCTCCACACCGACAGCACCGGCTATTTCCCTGCCCACAATCGTTAGCTCTCAGTACCATTTGCCGCTAGGTTTCTCCGGCGGTGAGATATCGATCTTCATTGAGGCACCCGACACCGTTTCCACCATCGGACAGATTCCCTCAATCACTGGTCAGATGGATAACTTTTCTGTTTTTGTTAATGCCATGGCTGCGAAAGGCTGGGAAGGGGTGGTATCTAAGCTGACAAAGGACCTCGTTGAGGCTGGCATTCTAAATATTCCAGAGACGGGTTCGACTATTTAGAGAGGAGAGATATCACTAGGAGGACAGTCTTCAATGTTCACTCGCTTGATCTGAGCGACGGGCACACCGCATTGTATTCTGAAAAGAACGGCATGAGGACATATCCTCGGGGGTTCAGAAAAAGGTCTTATGGGTTTGTCAAATGACACTTGCTTGTTTTATAAGGACAATCGTATGATTGAAAAGCTCCCCTTGGTATTGCCAACTTGTGGTTCTCAGCATTCTAATAAACCCATTTCCATTGCTATGGTGGGATGGCTGATCTTTCCGCCACTTGGGGCTGCAAACTGGCTGCAATCAACGATACTCACCAAGAGGGATACCTGATCAGCCAAAGCATCACTACTTACATGCGGAATCTTGCCTCTCATCTATGCGAATGTTGTTCAGTGGTTGAAACCTTGTTCACCCACTTCTTCCATTTGGTGGTCTTGAACAGGCATAGCACACTTTTTTTGACAATCGACAAGTTGTAGAAAACTCCGTTGGCAGTTTCTATTTTATCAAAACACCTCCACTGCATGCTCCTGGCTACCGGACATTTGCGCATTATGACGATTCCCAAAAAGCTTGCTCAACTCCACGCAAAAAACGTCAAAGTGGTCTCTTTCCACGGTCATGATCCAACAGCGCCCTCTGCGTTCCTCACGTCATATGACATCCGAAGTCCACTTACCTAAACAGGAAACAAACCACTCACCAACCAATCACAACACAGCACACTTCACCACCAAACCAAACCCACACTCCACCCTTCCGCACCCACGATACCTTCAAAACTCATCATTAAAAACACCAAAAAAAAACATACAACACCGGGCATTCGCCAGTCGTCACCGACCTGACTACTACTCCGGCCCTCATTAGCTTATCTATGGGAGAGCGGACGGGATCCCGAGTTTTCCAATGGGTATGGTCGTATGTGGCAGAGGATCGCGTCGAGATGGTCTATATCCTGTGAGGAAGACAGACACTGTGGTCCGTGAATGATGTTGAGGTCAACTTTAGCAAGACATCCAAATTCACAAAGGCCCAAGTTGCGGTATCGGAAATCTCGGGGTGGCGGGTCCTCCAGCTGCTGCTCTGCGGAAGGACCGGGTACGTGGAGCTCTTCATCTCGGGTTCGGGCTGATCGCTGGAGACGCCCCTGTTTCATATCAAAAAACCGTCCCCAGCCGCAAAAAAATTCAAAGCTCTGCTCACCTTGGACGTCTGGTTGGACAATTACCCAGCTCCATGATCTGTGGGCTTCGTATGAATGTTGTGCGAATATGGTCGATGAGAGGTCCGAGTGGGAAAAAAACTAAGACCAGCTGCTACGATTGGTTAGGATTATGTGAAAAGAAAATAAGTCAGTGAACGTTTTTTGTTGACGGTTTTGAGCTGCGGTGCAGCCAAAAAAATCGCAAGTTGCGTTTTGTTCTTGTTTCCAACGACTACCATCCAGCAGCTTCAACAGCTCGTATCTCGCTGCTTTCTAAACAGAGACAAAGTAAACCTATCTCTCCTGAGGAGAGACGTCTATGCAGAGAAACAATTAAACCTGAGAAAGAAAGCAAAAAGAAGAAGACGGCGAGACGAGGCTCCCATATGCAATGAAACGAAACAGCTACATCCCCACGGCACGCAATGCCCCATTCCTCCTCCTTCGATCCGCTGCGACGAAGCATCCCAGCTTGTCGTGATCAAAATGCTGCAGTTGTAATCCAATGCCAGTTACCGCTGGATCCCCGTGAAAATGCCCATACTTAACACAGAGAAGAAAAGAAATAACAAAGACCAGAGTGACCATCGACGCCCTCCCAACGCCGCTGTATGCAAATTCCGAGCTCACGTCTAATCCTGGCGTTCATCCCTGTCGCTATCATCGCCGCTATCGGTGAGGTCGACGGCCTTCGTCGCCTCGATTTCCGTCATCTCACGCCACGTACTCCAGCTGAGCATACCGAAGGCGAGCATGATCATGATGCCACCAAGGAGGGCCGCAGAGCTGAGAGGTTCTCCGGTTCTGAACCAGTCCGTGATGGCCACGATGAAGATGGTGAGCAAGCTCGCCACGCTGGAAAGGACGGGGCTCGTCAGGCTGATCAACACCAGGAAGCTGCCTGCGAAAGTGGCGTTCATGATGACACTGGCGAGGAGCATCCAAGCAGTGTAGCCTGTGGGCAGGGAGAAGGTCTCAATACCAGTCCAGTGGAGGATAGGTAAGGGAACCCAAAGAACTGTGAGAGTGAAGGCGCCAATGCAGGAACCGAACGTGTTGGCGAAAATCATTCCGCGGCCAGGAGCAACGCCGTCTGGCGGGCAAGCAAAGCGCTTGTAAAGGACCTCGTACAGACCGTAGAGCACGGAGCCGATGCCGATGACCAGGTTGCCAGTCAGTCGCTCGCCGGCCTCCTTCTGGTGCGCCGCATCGTCGTCTCCGGGACTGGTGTCGCCGTATGCGACAATGAGGACGCCAGCGATAGCGACAAGCACAGCCATGGACTTGTCGAGACGCAAAGGCTCTTTGAGCAGTGGCACAGAGAATACGTAGGCGAAGAACGCAGAGCAGTTGTAGATTGCCGTCAAGTCGGAAGGCGTCGTCAAGTTAACTGCGACATACCAGCTGAAGCCGGCGATAGTCAGAGCGGTCGTCACGAAGGCTGTAGTTCTGATGAGGTACAGCAGCGGTGACTTGCGCGAGAGCGAGTTGGGTCGCGCCCAGTCCAGGGTCTGGTTCTGAACCATGATGGCGGTGCTGTGAAGCAACTCGCAGTGACGGCGCCAGAAGGCAGGCCAGGGAACGTTGCGCTTCTGGATGCGCAAAATCAGCAACTGGACGGGCCAGAGTATTGACCAAGAGCCGTGGGTGAGGTAGAGCATGCAGTATGCCTTATTCCAGCCGAGCTCCTGCTGAATATACGCCGACAACTCGGTCTGGATAACGAAGGAGAACAAGCTCAACACGAGGAAGAAGGCAGCGTAAATGTACTTCTTACGCGCGTTGGCTTTAGCTGTCGAAGGAGAGTGTGCGCGGAGAGTCGAGCCGCGGGAGAAGGTCGGTCGGTTAGGGGTCAGCAAGGGGCTGCCACCTCTCGAGCGAGTGGAATAGCCATGGCGCTCGTCGTGAAGGTGATCGTCGTCGTCGGACTTTGGCTTAAGGAGAGGCTGGCCAGAGCGAGAGTCATGGTTCCGGAGGAGGGGTGGTCGTCGGTGAGTGTCACTCATGGCGTCGTCGTCGTCGTAGTCGTGTTCGAAATAATCGTCGTCGCCGTTGCGCAATGCATCAAATTCGGCCAGGCGCTGGTCGAGCCCGGGGCTCAGTCCAGGGCTACTGGTTCCGCTACCTATGTAATCGGAGATGTTGGATTCGCATGTGGTTGCGCTCGGCAGAGCGGGCGACGGATGGTTGGAGTGTCGTGGTGAACGATCGAGTCGGTGGTTGAGGGATCCGTCCGGCCCGATATTGAGTCTGGGAGGCATAAGAAGTAGATTGTAAAACAAGAACCAAAGGGAGAGAGGGCAGAAGGGAGTATAGATAAGAACAAAAGGCTAAAAATAAGGAGGGACTTGAATGGGAATCGCTGCTGCGGGAAGCTGGCAGTCAGTGGGAGAGAGGAAACAGGCTCAGACTGGAAGACGATATGCGAGTCGTATGCGAGTCGAGGTTTGGTAGGCAAGCGTGGTGTGGATTGGTATGGACAGGCACACATTTGATAGGGACAGTGACAGTTTGGCTTGTTGGAGGACACATGTTGCTGCATTGAAGTGGATACAAGCGTGCGTACGACATGCCTGGCTCCTCAGGAAACCTCCTACCGGGCGTGGATGCTGGATACTTGGCCGAGTACTTGGGGGTCTTGGACTGTGGCAGTACACGAAAAGGGTCAAGAGCAGCCCTGCGATACGTAAGTTTTGCATGGGGGACGCACGGCGGCAGGTAGCAAATACCGTACGGGAGCAGGTACCTACCCTGAATGACGACGGGCAGGTACCCACGAGCATTGAGAGGAAGTAGCGACTAGCAAGTACCCTCCTTCCTCTGCGAGTCTGTACCTTCCACATCGCAGTTCTGTGGCTTCTAATAGGACGGGTCCACGACGCCGAGACACCGCTAACTTGGCAACTGGGCGCCGGCCGGAAGGACGGGGGCTGGCGGTTGGCGCGGAAGGCCCTTCCTGGCGGTGCTGCCCTTTCTGCCCTTCCTGCTGCCCCTTCCACGTCGTGCGCTTTCCAAAGATTACAGGTCCAGCCTGGTGTGTTCCTCCCCCTCCCTCCTTCCCTTGGGTTGCCACACCACACCTCCCACACAGCACACACACACGTTCCTCCCTTCTTGAGCATTTCCGCAGACTGCAGCAGCGTGTCAGCCCGCACAGGCAACTTCCCCCCACACTTGCGAAAGCTGTCGGGTCCCTGTCTGGGGGCACCAAGTCCCCAAGTGGCCCCCCAGTGTGCGCCGGTGCTCACTCAGTCGCTGTCGGGTCTCACCCACGGAACCCCCAGCACGCACTCACGCACACCCTCACAAACCACGCCGGGCCGCTCAAAGATTCCGCTGTGACACGCAAAATCCATGCTGCTCGTGTCTCTCCGCTCCCTCCTTTCCTCCCTCCCTCCCTTACTAGCATACCTTATTTCAAAGTCAGACACCCACACAGTCGAGGTCACGGTCGCCTCTGCTTTATCAGACCCTGCCGAATGTACGAATCAAGTACCCCAATACCACACCCTTCCACCAATTCTCGCGCCCGTCACAGGTTGCGGTCATGGCCGTCGTGACAACTGAACAACTCCGCAACTCTGTCACCTGCGTCCCCGATCCGCTGAAAATGCTCGCGCTCGCGAATCCTAGCGCCAACTGCTAGACCGCTAGCAGACCGCTGCGGCGGTACAGCCTACAGTTGGGAAGCAGGCGGGAGGGCCTCAAAAGCACCTTTACGCCATCACGCATTCAGTCGCATGACTTACATGGCCCGCTGCCACCACACGCTGACAGTCTCCAGCCCACACTCATCCCGCGCCGAAGACCACAGTAGATCCGACAGCACCCATCTAGCGATATCGTGGACCATCCACATGTGCATCGGATTTGACATCTGATAGTGCCATCTGTCCCTTTCTTCAATTTACTATATGCCATGATGCCTGCATTTCTACGGCAGTTTCCCCTTCAGATCAGAAAGCTTCCCGCCCATCGGTCCGTTTCCCGTCATCAGTCGCCTTATTTGGCCCCCGCGCTGAACAGGGCATCCCGGGTGTCGTACTTGTACTCAAGATCCAGGTGCCAGTAGTTGGTCGTGTCCGCCTTTGAGATGAGCCACGCCTGATCCAACGCCTGCACAACCTCGTCGGGCAGAGGGCCCTTCTCGAGGTGGTTCAGGTTGTCCTCGAGTTGCGCCACGCTAGAGATGCCAATGAGGATTCCATCGTTGCCGTCCTTGATCTTGAGGTTCGAGTGGTGCACCGTCCATCTCAGCGCCGTCTCAATGATGCTGAGCCCGTGCTTCTCCACCGCGGCCTCGATCGTCTGCAGCGCCTTGAATGTGCTCTCGCGGAAGTAGCGCTTGCGGTAGTTTCCGCCCGTGCCGTGGTTGTCAGAGAAGCGGCCCTCCGTCGGGACGATGTCCTTGGACTTGATCTTGCCCGAGAACAGCCCGCCAGCGATGGGGTTGTACACGACAATGTCGAGTCCGTAGCGGCGACAGGCCGGGATGAGCTCGGCGTCGATGCTGCGAGTAATGACGTTGTACATGCCCTGGTAAACCGTCGGGCGTACCCAGCCGTTGTACTTGCACGTCAGCACGACCTCGGCCACCTCAAAGGCAGTGAAGTTGCTCAAGCCCAGCTTGACAAACTTGCCCTGCTTGTGGAGCTTGTCAAGAGCCTCGAGCGTCTCGGCGAATGGCGTTGCGCGATCCTGTAAGCGGTCGTTAGTTGCATGCCAAGTCACACAAGCTCAAGAGCAGCTCATACCGCGGCATGGAGGTACAGAATCTTTGGATACCAGTTAGCTGAGTCCTTGCGAGAATCGATTTCATGCCAACTCACATCAACGGAGTCGGTTCCGAGCTCCTTCAGACTGGTCTCAACAGACTCAATAACCTTGCTGCCAGCATGATCACCGGCCGAGGAAGGATACTGGACCTTCGTGGCCAGAGTCAGTCCTCTCTCCTTCCACCTAGCCTCGCGAGTGAAGGCCTCCTGCTTCCTGCCGACGTAGACGCGAGCCGTGTCGACCTCGCTGTAGCCGCGCGCCTGGAACACATCGAGGGCCTTGTTGAACGTGTCCAGATCGGTGATTCGGGCGCCGTCGGACTCGTTGGGGCCGAAGGTCATGAGACCCAGGATGATTCTATCCTTGGGGTTTGAGGCGACGAGAGGCATGGTGAAAGTTGGGGGATCCTTGAGTTGCGAGGAGCACGATAAGCCGGGAGCGATAAGAGGGGTTACCTTGGTTTGACGGGGTCTCACAAGGCAGAAAGATCAGAAGGAAATAACACACACAAGTTGTCTTTATATGAGGCTTTTTGGGTCCGATATCGATCACTGGAGTTTACAATGGTTTGGTCCGAAGAAGCGATGTCGTGATTAGATAGACTCATACGGCAGCCGTCAAAGTGGGTTACGAGAGTTCAGACCCCACCACCATGGCGGGGTAGATATGCGACAACTGAAGACGTCACGGCGCTGGGAATGGAAGCATTACTAATGGAGGACGTGCCCGGTTGGGACGAGGAGATGGAGGATCCGACGGGAAATCGGCTTTTCTTACTGGAGTGCCGAAAGAAAATAAGGCTGCCGAAAAGCTAAAGATGGGATCAGACGTCAGCCAGTTGCAGGCGAACAACGGGCCTTGGACGCGAGGAAGGACTGCCTAAGCGATTGGCAATGAGCATGACGGGAATGGGCATAGTTTCGCTTTGTTCGTGATAAGTCCGTTAAATCCTGTGTGTGTTGTCAATTGGCTGAAGCTGATCCTGATGCTGCCTAGTCTGCGTGGCTGGCCAGGACGCATAGTGGACTTTGTGGGTGACGGTTCGCAACTGGCCACCTTGGACTGATCAAAATGGCCTCATAATTGGAGCCGATGTCTTCCATCTCTCCAAGCGCCAAGAGATGTTGCAATTGCAACGCTGGATGAAAGGTCTCTCGTCTTGTCTCACCTTCAGCTGTCAGGAGCCATTCAGCCTCCGCAGGGGCAGACTTCTCCCCCCGCCGTTTGCCAGTCGCCCTCTGGTGGCGCCTTCTCAAAGGAATGGAATGAACGCGAGCTCGGTCCACCCTGCATGCTGACACACGTGACCCAGTCACTGTGTTCCTTCCTTCCACCCCCAAGCCGGGGGCCCACTCTCCCCAATGGCGCTCGGGCCATGACAGGAGTGCTTCGCGCCTCAGGCCCCCGCGACTTTTAATTGTCTTCGCGTAGAAAGCGCGTCAACCCGCGACTTTCGCGTCCTTCCTTTCCCAACGCCTGGCAGGAGCATCCACCCGACTCTGGTCAAAGAAAATCCGTGATACCGGCCCAGCACCTCACCCCAAGCCTCACCGAGCCCTCGCCAACAACCTCACGACCACCGAACGCCACAACGTCCTCCCAGTCCCCTCGATTCCGACCGTTTTCTTCCTGGCCGTCTGCCCGAACGAACGCTGCCAAAGTGCCTTCTGCACCGCTTACCCCGAGACGCCAGGGCCTGCCCCTTGCTCCACGAAGTTGACCATGGTCAAGGGCAATGCGCAGCCCGGCATCTACAGTGCTACATACAGTGGTGTAAGTCATTTTTTGGGTTCAATTCGCGGTCAGCTGGCCCGGCCTGGAATTCACGGTGTTGCGATTCGACTTGGCGGCTTGACTGGGCGCTTAATCCAGCGTCCAGGGGGGGATAGCCTCGCCTGATATCGACATCCCGGGCGACATTCTTTGACATCGTTGTAATCTTCGTCGCAAGTTTCAACATTGCAGTTGCTGACAGGAATATGTCCTAGATCCCCGTTTACGAGTTTCAATTCGGAGATGATCTCAAAGAGCATGTTATGCGAAGGAGGCAGGATGACTGGATCAATGCGACACATATCCTGAAAGCTGCTGGGTTCGACAAGCCCGCCCGAACACGCATTCTCGAGCGAGAGGTCCAAAAGGAAAAGCACGAGAAGATTCAAGGAGGCTATGGAAAGTACCAGGGAACATGGATTCCTCTCGACAAAGGCGTGGCTCTTGCCCAACGCAACAATATCTTCGACCGTCTGCGACCGATTTTCGAGTACGTCCCGGGCGACCAGAGTCCCCCTCCCGCCCCACGACACACCAGCAAACCCAAGGCACCGAAGAAACCCGCGGTGCCCAAGTGGCCCAGTGCGAGCTTTCAGCAGCAACAGCAGCCCCCTCCGCCCACTGCCAACAACTCAATGCAAGGCGCTACGCAACTCGAGGAGTTTGAGGCCATTGACGGCCTAATGAATGAAGACGATACTCCGGACAACCTGACTGTTGCGTCTGCCTCCTACATGGCAGAGGACGACCGTTTCGACATGTCACACCACTCGACCGGCCACAGGAAGAGGAAGAGGGAGGAGGCTATCCAAGATATGACCCAGCAACAGCACTCTCTATACGGAGACGAGCTTTTGGACTACTTTCTTCTTTCTAGAAACGAGAAGCCAGCATACCGCCCAGAGCCGCCACCAAATTTCCAGCCAAATTGGATTATCGACTCGGAGGAACACACAGCTTTGCACTGGGCGTCGGCCATGGGTGATTTGGACGTCATCAAGCAGCTGCGTCGCTTCGGGGCGAGTCTGTCGGTGCAAAACGTGAGAGGAGAAACGCCCTTCATGCGCTCAGTACACTTCACAAATTGCTACGAGAAGCAAACGTTTCCGCAAGTGATGAAGGAACTGTTCGATACGGTTGACGCCAGAGATCATTCAGGGTGCACTGTCATTCACCATGCTGCGGTGATGAAGAACGGCAGGGTAGTCAGCCACTCATGCTCAAGATACTACCTGGACAACATTCTCAACAAACTTCAAGAAACACATGAACCTGCCTACGTGCAACAAATCATCGACGCGCAAGACAATGAGGGCAACACCGCCCTTCATCTCGCAGCACAACGGAATGCCAAGAAATGCATCAGGGCGCTTCTTGGTCGTCAGGCGTCAGCCAATATTCCCAATCACGAGGGTGTACGGGCAGAGGACCTCATCGCTCAGCTCAACGCAAGCAAGAAGGATCGCGGGCCTCAACGCTCATCCTCCCCTTTTGCGCCGGACTCTCAACGGCATGTCTCCTTCAGGGACGCCATGCCGGAGAAAATGAGCAGCAAGAAGCTCGCTCTGACTTCTTTTAACTCGGAAGCCGCCAATACGGTGCAAGCACGCATCACGCCTCTAATCATGGAGAAGTTCCAGGACCTGGCAGGCAGTTACGACGAGGAGATCCGGGAAAAGGACACGGCCGAAAAGGAAGCTCGCCGCATCCTTTCAAATACACAAGCAGAACTTAATGCTGTGCGCCAACAAATGGCCGAGCTTGAAGCACAACTTGAGGCGGACGATGGGGCTGCGCAGATCATGAGCGAGGCAACTTTGGCCAACCACCAAGTCATGTCACTCATCACGCATCAAAACCGTCTCCATGTGCAACAAGCCGTCGATCAGGAGATAAGCATGCTCAACGGCGACGTCGACGAGGCCACATATGACGACCGGCTGTCCCTGGCTCGGCAACTCCAGGCAATGCTCTCGGAGCAGAGGCAGTCAGAATCAGACTACGTCGAGGCGCTGAGCATGGTCGGCACTGGGGAGAACATTGACAAGTATCGCCGTCTGCTACGCAAATGCCTCGACCCAGCAGACGCAGAGAACCTCGACGCCAACCTGGATAACCTCATTGGAGTAATGGAGGAAGATCGCGATTTGCCATCTGACGGCCCTGAGCCCATGGACGTCGGTATGGGCATCGGCATCGGCATTGGCGGCTTGTAAGCTCGGAGCACGCTGTCATCATTACTGCCGCAGCGAGTTTTGCTCTTTCGGGAAAATGAGAGTACCCGACAGCTCGGGTTCTGGATGTTGCATGTACAAAGACCTTTTCGCGCGAGACTTTGGGACGGTTTGACCAATCTCGCCAGATTCACGAGGCCCAAAAAACAAGGAGGGGGGCGGCTTCATGGGGTTTATGTTTTGAAGGCTTGTTATTCCTTCTCGGCGTTTCAAGGCGATGATATGAGAGAGCGCGGGGGGTTCGTGGATTGGAAGGACGCATTGGATTTGATATTTGCCAGACTAAGGTAGTCTTTCTAATGTCTAGCGGGCTTCGAGAAGGAAAGCTCCGCGATTGATGAGACTTGTTTAACATACTTTGTGTCCATTGCATTGTGAACTCGGATTCTCCTCTCTCAAGACTCACTCCCTAGGTATCCCGTTTCGCAAGAAGATTCGGTTCAATAAGAGTACTCCCTGCTACAAGGGGCCGCGTTCCAAGGCGAGGACTAACTGCATCACCCTGAATCTCCCCGCGAAGCACAGTACTTTTCCTCCCATGCAGGCGCGTGTGCCCGGGTTTCATGGTCTATCCTTGCTCTCCGGATGATCCGCAAGACGACGACGCTCGGAAGGCGTACCGGGGAGCTTGTCCTCCTCCAGTCTCCATAATGACTCTGTGAATCATCTCGCTTCCAGGTGGGCATGGTCTCGAGCTCTGATGGCCACTGCTTGTGACTTACTGATCTGGTGCGCGACCGCCAATGTCTAGCTCTAGCAGTCAGGCTGGTTCGTCGAGTGCCACCGGCAAGGCTGGCTGACCTCCTTTTGCTCACAGTCAGCCATGTCACAGGCTCGTTTCTCCCGTTCTAGACCCCCGGCGGGGATAAGGGGGAGGGACGTAACATCTTTGCGCGGCATGGTGAGATTTGGGACTTTGCGTGCGTGGGAAATATCACCAGTTCCGGGCGTCGGGGCGTCGCCAGTTTGGGAAACGTTGGAAACGGAGAGCATATCTCGCCGGTGTTTTGACAGTAATGTCAGAGCTGCGGGAGCGTTCCCCGTCTGACAACGCCCGGTGTCTGAGATATCCAGCGGAAATGCAGTACTGAGGTGTCTCTATTGATTTCGAATCATAACTGTAGGCCAGGATGTGATCATCACGTCGCGGTGAAGCCCAATCGCTTCGATCCTACGTGATGACGGTGAGAATGAAGCGGAACCATGAGGAGTCTCCCCCGAATGCTAGGATCATGGTCCGGCTGACTCAACGGCGAGGATAATCTAGACAGGTAAGCTGGGCGTTGACGTGAAGTTCAGCCTGAGGATGAAATGTTATGTTCACCGAAACTTCAGATTCAATGATGGAAAAGACCCAATCCCATGCGTGTCTTTCCTTCCTTTCCTACTTTGATGACGGCGGCATGACTTGCCTAAGGATGGATCTCGTGATGGTTGCACTGGTGAGGTAAGCTTGGCATCACTCACCAGTCGCAAGTCGCACCGCAGAAGAAGGAACTCCGGAATCCCGGTCCAATGCCGCCAACACATGATTGAAGCCTGCAAGTGCACGGCTAAGCTAAGGCTGGGATCTTCGTATTTCGACCTCTCAGATTTGAGCATAACGCTCCGATATTTACGGAGATGAAGATGACAGCCTGAGCCTCGTTAGTAATCATGGTGACGAGGGTCACGGTACAGGTAACCAACAAGCGAGTAATGCAACAACACAAATGCCCTCGAATCAGCAGCAAAGGCAGCAAAGTCGAACGTCAAAATTTCCTAGTCGTTTTCAACAGTGGAAGAGTTTGCGGTAAACGGAGCTGAGCGCTCAGAGTTCCTGAGTTCAGAACGACCGGCTTAACGACTTGGTTGGCTAGTACGTAGGAGGAGCTATCAAGCGGATGAGAGAAAGTCACAGTTGCATTCGACTTGCTAGGAGAACAAGCGGTCAGGAAAGGCTCAGGCGATATGTCCTCGCGTTCCAAGTAGTGGTGACTGGATGACCCAGGTATGAGGCAATTCGAATAACCCTGGCCAATCCTTGCAATAACCCCTCGTGGCAACGCTTTCGTCCTGGTACGGCAGCGTGTTCTCGAGCGTCAGCCAATGGATTGCTAATGACCAGGGTGCATAGGGGTTCGAAAAAACTAGTGGATGAAGGACGTAAGGCTGAGGCCCGACGAGGGGTCCCTGAAAGACCTCGCATGGTTGGGGGCTGGAAACGGGCGCGAAGTGCGGCTGGTGTTTGGTAGGTTGCATAGCGAACAGGGAGGTCGTTGGCGATGCGGTGTGAGTGGCCGGTGTAAACGCGCCCACGAGGACTGACGTCGAGTTAACCCGCTGACAGTGCCTCAGGGATGCTCGAACGGGATTGAAGTTGTGGGTGATGCATCTGGAAGATGCAGATTTCATGCATGGTACTGTGCGTGATGGCCGCTGCATCTCGAGGTTAATCGAGGGTAAGATGAGACGACAACGGCCATGATCAGCACCGGGCCAAATTCTCGCGCCCGGCCGCCGACAAGCGGTGCGGTCCTTCTGTTGTGGATCTTGGCTTCCAGGGGAGTATGAAGATGTATGCGGAATGGCATGTGCGGTGACGAAGATGTAGTGGCGGCCGGCTTTGCGTTGCATGAGCTGGTAAATGGTGGTGTACGGTACGCATACGAGATGGGTGGATGGTGGCAATGGAATCTGGAACGTCCGTATTGTTCGATGCCGCCTCAGCCCCATGTTGTGTTCCCTGCACGTCAAAAGGAGACATCTCTATATCGGGCCCAGCGTTGGTGTAGACGTACCCACTGCAGGCAATGTCGGCGCGAAGCAGAGCCGTTTTGTGTCTGGACCGATTCGTATTTTGCTGGATAGGGTTAATGGTGGTCGACACGAGGAAGCAGTCAGCTGAACAAGCGCATCGTCGATGTCGGTTCGCCTGGAATGCCTGCTGAAGCAGACTTAGTCAGGCTGGTTATTCAACGGACTCGGCCGCAACGCGCGAGCAGAATTACTGACAGTATGTCGTCAGGAGCGCCGTGTTTCTCCCGAAAAGTGCGGAGAATAAACAAGACGGACCCAGCTGTGGCGATTGCGAGATTCGTAATGGAACGAGTAAAGAAGCAGGACATGCGGTTTTCTCGCTCCCTTGCCGGTCTCGTAAACGCATCAATGAGGGGACGGCGCAAAGACTGGTACGGTCATGTTTGAGGTGAATCAATGACGGCATGAGAAATTTCCCAAAAAGACCAACGAAACCACTTAGGGCCAGTTGTTTGGATTGTTGGCGAGAAGTCCACGGTGATCCTGTCGCAAGTAGCAGGAACATAGCGAGCAGGAGCAGGAGCAAGGAGCTTCGAAGGTTCGCCGCCGGGGGGGGGGGGGGGGGGCGCGGCCGCGTCGGCTCCGTGGCTCGGCGGTCCCAATCGGAGAAGGTATGGTTTGGGGGCCGAACAGCTCGTGTTGAGGCCTTTCGGTCCGTGAGCGGAGACAGCGTCTGGAGGATAAGCCAACCATAGCGACGCAAGTTGGCTTTGGAGTCGGCGGAGACTGCTGGTCTTGTCTCTGAGCCGAAGATGGTGTAGCAGGCAGAAGAAGAAAGACACGGTTTGGCGTCATCTTAGGTTGGTGATTCGTTACCGTCTGGTCGGTGACACGGTGAAAATAGATGTTTTCCCAGTTTTCCTAGGGAGTGAGGGGCATACTGTCTGTGGCAAGCAGCAAGCGGCAAGTGATAGGTCGGCCCCTAGGATTAAAAGAGGAATGATGATTGGAGGCGGCGGGTCGGGGTTTGTGGCTGTGTCGGGTGTCTGCGGCCGCTGGACTGGCTTGTGAGATGGGGAGTGGTCGGCCGTAGGGGCAGGCAATGTATGCTGTCGATGCAAATAGAGGTGATAGTCGTAGTCGGTTGCCAGAGTCCGACGAGGTGTCGTCGGAAAAGAATGTCTTGCTGGCGATGGTGCTTTGGTTCTGGGGTACGGTAACCACGGAGGACCACCAGGAAGGGACTTCCTTGTTGCGATTCACAGATCACAACCAGTTTTGGCAAGCACGAAGGCCGCCGCGGGGGCGGTAGCGGCAGCGGCAGCGGCAGCGGCAACACACGCAAGGCAAGTCAGGTCTAGACGAGACAGGCAGGAGCATTCCCCGTTCCTCATTCCTCATGTTCCATACGGATGTCTAAGGTAGGAAGCAGATACCGTAGATGCAGGTCATCTGGGCTGAAAATACCTTACAGCGGGTGATCGTCTGCAGCTCCTTGACTCAAGATTGGACGGAGCGCATTCCATCTTGGGGTGGCCCCCTCCTAATTGGGCATCTGCACTTCACTTCTTGCTCCTTCCTGCTGCTGCTGCTGCTGCTGCTGCACCTGCCCATCAATTACCTTACCTAACCTTACCTTACCTACCTTGCGTATTCGTACCCAGGCAGGAAGGAAGGCGAGTTTGGCAAAGGGGAAGGAAGGAACGAATGGATTCGCATGGGGAAAGAACAGACCACGACTCGACCTGGGAGCCTAACGGGCAGCAAGGAAGGAGGGAAGGAGGTGAGGAGAAGGTGCACCCCAGCTGCATAGCATTCTGAGGTTTCCACTGCCGGCCTTGCGACAGCGAATGAGAGACCACTGAGGTTCGAGAGGCAGCTGAAAAAAAAAAGGACTTGATGCATCGCCAACTTGGCCCAGCCAACCAACAAGCCACTCCACCACAACCAGTCCTGGCCTCTTCTCGATCCATTGCACACCACTCCGTCTCTGGCCAGTGGCCTGGCCTGGGGCAGACTCCTTTGAACTCATCATTCGTCAATCAACCCGCAGTCACCTTTCAGACGCCTTGTCAGACGCCCTTCACCCATTCTGCTCAGCCGAGGCCGATCGTTTCCTTCCTCTGTCCATCTCGCTCCAACGACTTTGAACCTGCACCTGCACCTGCAGTACGGGGTACCTACCTTATCCACCGATCCTATCCGTACACTGACTTAGACTTCCGTATCCGCCTACCACTCGTTTCTTGGCCTCCATGTGAAGCGCGCCTTGTCGCCCACCAGACGTCAATAGCTGAAGCTCGCAGCCGCTCCGTCACCGTCTCACACACACTCGCATTACACATTTGCCAATCCCCGGTACTTGCTCATGCGCCATGTCATGCAGACTCCAGGTCGGAACCGGTCCTGAGTTCTTTGTCCGTCGCATCGCATCGCATCCTGCTTCGGCATGCCGATTTTCGGCAACCGATTGCCAGGGACGACATGTCATATCCGGCAACAACGGTAGACATGTCCAGGCCAGAAACTACTTGATCTCACCTTTCTACACACGTCTGCCACTATCTTATTCTTGCAGCCTCTTTCACATTTGCATCACGATCGCACGGGTCCTTACGGATCCAATGCTCCCAACGAGCACCATCTTGAATAGGGGGGGTACATCGATCGACACCACAGGGCTGGCTGATGAACCAATCGTTCGATGGAAAGGGCCTAGAAGAGGAACAAGCTCGCAGCCATGGCACCCGCCTCTGCGACACTAGACAAGCAAGACAAGGCAGGGATCCCAGATGGCGTGGCTGTAGGGCGGGCTCACCTCAGCTGAACCAGGTTACCAAGTAGCTCCCCCCGTTCCACTCGCCCACGCTAACTGTTTTTTGCGACAGTCCTCCAGGTCCCTGATGTCTTTTGCGCTTGCTTTTGCGACCGCTTGACGCTTGACGGGTCATCTGCTCTCGAAGCGTCCCTATCCCCCGTACAAGGACCCTAACCCCACGGCACGGCCATCAGCCGAATACAACGACAACAAAGCAAGTCACCGAGCCGCCACTGTGGACTGTGGACTGTATTCCCTACCAGGTGGATAGGTCAGCAATGTCCCAGTCCAGTTGCCCAGCTACAGCTGCCTGTCATTTGAACCACCTGCCGCGCGCGCGCGCCTTCGACTCGCGAGACACGGACTCGGATTCTGTCCATATGCGCTGGAGTTCAGCTTGCTCTGTCTGTCCACTGGGAGCCTCCGTGGCATTGGCTACCATTTGCCTTGTTGCTATTCTCCGTTGCAGCTTGCGCAGTGCTTCGTCATACTAGAGCCCGCGAAGCAGGATGCGCGTCTCTTACGGTGGATCGGCCACCGAGACTCCACGTTGCGCCGACTGACACTAGGACCAAGGCCGGGGGACCAGCCCAGCTGGTACTGTCGTCTGGAGCGGTTCCCTGTGCTGCGGTCGCCCACGTACGGTCCATTCGCAGGAACTGTGAACATCCTGTTGGGCTGAACGACAGGGATCCCCTGACGCGGTTTCGAGAGGAAAAAATCGACCCCAAATGTCGCCGTCCGTTGTCCGTCCCAACCTGCCAACAATAGCCAGCAAGAAAGAAAAAAATGAGTCCGAGCCGTTCCAATCCAAGGCGTAATCTGCGGCTGCCTGTCAAATCTATGGTCAAACACATGGAATTTCTACACCGCCTGAATTGGGGTTTCGTTTACCATCTCGTTCTCCGTCCCACTCAGAGAAGCCTGTCCTTATCAGAAGCGCGTTCGGGCGCATTACATTGCCATTACCAGGCTTGTTGGTGCTGACAGGAACTGTTCTCCAGGCCGTCCGCGCAGACGGGAAGTGTGCGGCATAGGGTTCCAACAGCGTTTCTCGACCAAACCCAGGAAGCGAGGTCAATCGCCTTCCAACTTACACCTACATGATGACCGCATCTTCAGAGTATCATGGCGTCTTCTTCGCCCGGGTCTCTTCCCCACCTTGTTCCTGCGGACGCGCCCATGGGCCACCCCATTCACGCCCGCTTCTCCAACACTGCTTCACATTGAAGCGTCTCCAGCCCTAAAGACAGCCAGTGGGAGTGGTTATCTGCACACCTCTACAACCGCCGCCTTGCAGCAAAAACAAGCATGGAAACAACAAGGCCAGCGTAGTCGCCATCGTGACTGATGACTGAACTTGGGCATCTAATGGGCCCTGACTAGCGCCATTGGCCTGCCCCGGGCTCTCGCCTAATGCTAATTTCAAAAGACAGAGAGAGGCTGACTGAGGATGAAGACGGCGCACTGAAAACGGGATTTCAGGGCTCACTTTTATTCCGCGCAAGCCAAGCCAAGGTCAGGATGCTTGCTGCCCGTCAACTCATACACACCTCCCCTTCGCCGCACACCCTCCCATGGTGGCCTCGAACCCCTTCATTTGGTCTATTATCTCATTCCTTCTGGCAGCCATTTCCCTGCCGGGCCAGATCGTGCAAGACCAACTCGGAAGCAGATGGCATCGCAACTCCATCGTGCCTCGTCTCCCGCGACATGGCGCATCGACACCATGTCTATATATATGATACAGTATCCTTCCCATTCTGTCCGCAATCCTTCCACCCCACCACAGCTCCCGTCCCCTTGACGTCTGCCACCAGCCCCGTCTCCCAATCCTCATTTATTTGTTGGATTGTCCCCGGGCACAAAGGAATCTGTCATCGTTGCTGACAGACAAACAAAGCCTTTGTAATCTAGACAGCGTTGCGCACAAAAAAAAAACGACCTGTTGTCTCATCCTCCTCCTACTGCGACCTGCATTTGCCAAGCGCGGAACCTGACCTCGACTCACTTCTCTACGCAACCCCAGGGAACTTTGGTAGCCGCTTTGTGGTAAGTCAGCCGTTTACTACAATTACTGGGTGCAACCGCTCGCCGCGACGCTGGAACCTCCATTTTCAACTTTACCCATGGGTTTCAGAGCTCGCGGCACAGACTGAGCCTCGCCCCCTAGCGCGCGGCATCCACTTCAGCACGATCAAAGACTTACACCTTTCGGCCATATAGAACCCGGCAACCCTCTCTCCCTTGCTTTCTTTTCTTCGGCCTTTTCCAACTCACCTCCCGGTCACTCGCCCTCTGAAATACCCAAAAGCAATCGGTCCAAACCGGAGCTTTACTCGGCACCTTTCCAACCCGACTTACGGCAGATGCGGCGGCCGAGGCCCACCATCCCAACCCCCTAGTCGCTTATGTCCAGCAGCGCCTTTTCATTACTCGCAAGCCACCGTTAGGTCTTGGCCTGGTCGCCGGACACACAGGCATACCCCAGACGTGCCACCACACCGCATCCCAAGCGTGCTGAGGAGGTACCTCTACCTCTACCTCAGCCAGAAGAGAGGCGACCCTCAATACGACCACCAACCAAACCTAATCACTTACCATAATCGACCCTTTAAGCAGCCATGCCTGCCGTCACGCATGCTGAGCTGGCTGTTGAGGAGCCGTTGTCGACCATCAGCTCTTACCATCTCTTCTCAGCTTCTCATATATGCGCCGGTCTCGCCATCTTGGGCCTTCTTGCCATCTTCCGCCTCGTGGTTCATGCCATGTCCAAGTCAAAATCAGGAAACGGAAATACCAGCCAGGCTCACCGAGACGGGCAAGTTGATGACGATCTAAGCCACTTGGTCAATCAGCAAAGTCTCCACCATCACTTCTTCCACGATAGGATCTGGCCCATGGAGGAGAAGTCACGTGGAGTCAGCAGTAATACCGCAACTGCGGAGGATGGGTTCAGCAGGAAAACAGGCCCATTTTCGAGCCTCTCGACGGAGAATGCGAAAGACGCAGGCGCGCGTAAGGATAATGAAGGCCGTGAGCGTACGCCGTCACCTGGCAGCATGTTCGGCCCGGGAAAGCTTTCAGGCCTTACATCAACAAGACTAATGATGTCGAGGCCGCCGCCCCCGCCTCCGCTTACGCCCCCAGAGCTATCCCCGTCTGTTTTCACGTACGATGATCGCAGGAGGAGTTTCACCGGCTTCACCTCGGAACTCGATGCATCTTTCTTTGAGCAGCCCAACCCAGACTACATATCGTCCACAGAGACAGAGACTGAGACTGAGATGGCGACGACAACGGCGACGCAAAACGTTCAGACTACGAGGTCGTCACCAACGCCTCGTAGGCGGTCTTACACCAAAACTCTACCTATTGGGATACCAGCTACCACGACGGGTCCCGCTTCTGATGGACATGGAACTGTCTTTTCTCCCTCGTCATATCCGCCAACATCACCTCTGCTTCCAGGGCCGCCGCCGATTCATGGAGAGATCCTTGAGGATGGAACCTTTCGCGAGATCAAGGTGCAAGGCGAGATCATTTCGATGCTGGACGGCAGCGGAGCCGGTTGGAAACGCCACACCAGAGTGTATGGAGGCGGTGCTTGCCTCGCATGTGCGGCATCCTGCGACGATGGTCACCACGGTGGCTTCTATGGCGAGAATGTTCTGCCAGAAGAGAGACGCTACTAGGGTCACACGCATCACCAGCTTCGGCTTCAGGTTGGACTAATATGGGTTGTCTATATGAAGAAAGTGGACATTTCCTAGGCGCGTAGAGTGATGATAGAGGACTTCAGCATCACGGTAGGAGACCAAAAATTGGGGCGGCACACAATCTCACTCGGCAGGGTCTCGTCTAGAGCATCCCGGATGCCATGATATTTTTCCTTCTTTCTCTTTTTTATCATCTATCTGGTTTACCCATCTGCCTCACGGCCACACGGGGAGTTTGGCATATCCTGTATTTCCTTGTGTAATGACCTTTTCTCGGGCAGTGGAGAGTGGAATCATGGGCATGTGGGGTGACAAAAAAGGCATCGGGCACCTGTTTTTCCTTGTTTGTTTTCGAACTCATTTCCTTGCAATCTTTACGCATAATGACGCTTATGACGATACATGTTTTTCTTTCTTTCCTTTTCTTCCCCTTTCCATAGTTTTGTGTGTCTGATAAGCCAAGGTTCCCGCTCGATGTTGGGAGCTGGGAACTAGTCTGTTGAGCAAGCAGGGATGTATGTATGTATCTCAAGTTGTTTTGAAGGCAAAGTCTGTTGGTAATCTCGTGTGTAAGTTGAGTGCGTAGTAGAGAAGAGCCTGGAGTGATGCGATGGGGGGAGTCTAGCTCCTTCTTTCTTCGCATCCGCGAACAAGCAAATCTTTGGACATTTTGCAAAGTACATCCCATGGCCGCCTAAGCTACCCTCAGTGCTTGAATGCAGTCTCAGCCCGAACCGCAGATCAGCCATCGCTCACTCGCAAGGCGACAATCTGCATCAGGATGGGATTCACGGCCTCCCGCACGCTTGGCCGCTGATGTAACGCGAATATGCCCCAAGTGGCCCGGCAGCCGAACCAAAGTCCCTTTTCCCCCCTCTCTCGCGCAAGGCAGCAGCATACGTGATGACCTCGGAGTGAGTGAGCTTTACGACTCCTTCGCCTTGGCTCGATGACGGGGTGATTCGACTCACCCCCCTCTCATAGTACAATCGTTTTGACATCTGTGACCGGCGACTGGACGAAGGTGAAAGCAGAAAAGAAAAACAGAAACAAAAATGAAGCAAAATAAACCAGAGTTGACTTCGCAAGGCTTCAATCATCGGCGGTGTCTTCAATTTCACTCGGTGAGTGATTCCAGCAGATGCTGCCGCCGTCATTGACACAAGGTGGTCTCATTCCCGACTCATGTAGACAAGGTAGCTGCTGCCGACTTGAGCTGTCGGCATCAGCAACCTCGCCAATATACCAATAGATAGCTTCAGTTCAGGTTCGGTCTCATGTTTTCATGAGACGCAACTCATGACGGCCGTGCCAGCCAGCCTCGTTGCGTTTGAGGATAAGCTTGTGATAAGAGTCACAAGCGGGAAGAAGGCTGTCATAAAACCTCGTCATCTTCGCCGCGGCGTGAGTCTCACGTTGGACCGCCCAACTGCGCTTGGCGGTGGCCTTGCTGATTTTCTCCTCCTTTCTCATTTGAAGTATATCAGATTCGGCCATGTGATGCGTGCCTCAAACTCGCGAGCGCGCTGCTCTGGTTGCCCAAGGTGTGAAACGGCGTCGCGTCGTGTCAGCTCCCTGGAGTAAATAGGTAGGATTATTCGAGGATGTGATCAATAGCGGTGAATGCTATCCACGCTGGCTCTGCCGTTCTTACTGCTTCCGCTGCCGTGCCTGCATTCTCAAGATACTAAAGCCTTTTGTTGAATGCAAGTGGAGATGCTGTTACCGCTTCTGCCAAGAACCGGACAGGTCAGAGGGTGTTTTAGAGTAGGAGGAGGATGACTGAAAGACGGCTCCTCTTCATACAAGCCATGGTGCTGACCTTTCTCACCGGTAGTCCCCGGTCCGACTTCAAAACGACCCATCACGAGAGCCAAGACGATACCGATTGCAGCGAAGGACCGTCTCCTTCGTTACGGCCCGCTCGAGGTAGTCCGCTGTGTTGGCCTGGTGTACGCTCTCAATAGAAGCATCCATTCCTTCCGCCGGGATACCAGACATGGGCCATCAGATAATCGGAGAATATTAGTTCACCCTTCTCCTTGCCTCATCCTCCATCTGCTTCACCCAGGAGCCATGCCGAATCAGGCTTGCTGTGCGAAAGACGGACGAACGCCTTCGGGACCGAGAAACCGACAAGCCCCAGGTTACTCCCAGTTGCCATTTGACGATTGTCTGCATGACTACCTCTGTCTGCCCGCGGCAGGATCGTGAAGGAGGGGATCGTCAGTTTGTTGGCATTGGCAGGGCCGCAACCGACAACACCTTCCACCGCATTCTTAGCGGGTGAGAACGAAGGATCCTTCTCCGCGCCGTAGTGTCGCAGTTGTACCTGGACTTGATGGATCATCTCCAACTCTAAAACCCCTGTCCCCCTCCTTGTGAATGATGTGGCCGTTCCACCCCCTCTATTCCCAACGATCTCACGTCATACTCGGGACATTCCAGAGAATCCTACCCTCCACCGGGCTAGAACGGTCTTGGAAGCAAGGAAAATAAGGTCTTTCGTTGTTTGTCCCTGTTCTCATGCTCTCGGGTTTCGAGTGTCCCAAGAGAGAGTATTGGTAGACGTAAGTCCTTGGGTAGACTCGGTAAAGGAATGTTAATCCTTTCCGTGCAGTTTATGAGTAGTCCACAGATGCCGTTACGGTATCCGAGACCGCTTGAGCCGCATTTCTGCGGCTCTGTGTCCAGGACATATCTCTGATTTCTGCCGATGCGAACCCAATATGCAGATGAGACGATGTCTCCGTCGTGGCTATAGAACGTGTGGGGTCTCACGCCCAAAGACATTGCCTGTCGTATTCGAACCTCAATCAAGTCAGCGGCTGCCGCAACACATCACGTTGACTGCAAGTCGGTTGGTGGTGGCGTGTAGGATCTTGATCAGCAAGCCCACTGTGGGTTTTCTGGAGAAAGGGCAAATGAGAGTGGTTGAACACGGACGAGGGAAAGGGTTGGTGAAACGAAAGGGGTGTGGGTGGACGGTCTTGTCGATTGATGGACGTGCTGGCGTCTGTCGTGCATGACAGCAGTCTTATTTGGTGAGATAAGGACAACGAGGGAACGAAGTGAGTGAGATCGTGAGGAGACTCAAGCTGTCAACGCCGCGCGCGGATGGATCCCCACGCGTGGGATGCGCCATGGTGGATGGATGGATACATGACTGCACGCATGTCAGCTGCCTTGCTGCTTACACACCCCCTTCTTCTGAGAACTTCTTCTTACTGGTAATTCGCTCTGTCTTGCGAGCTGTTTGCGTGATGTTGTCCATGTCGCTGTGTGGGTCATATTATGAGGATTCAGCGGTGAGTAGTCAGAATCTGACGAAGATACGACAAAGTCGTTGATTTTTACTGAAATCAAGGTTGAAGGCAGACTCGTGGCAGCCATAGTTCCGCAGAGACATGGAGGACGGGAGGATTCAGAACCCTGGACAGAGCGACTTACGAAGCCAGCCAGAGCCGCAGGATTCGTTTGGCAAATAGTTTTGTGGCAAGCTATTGGCTTGCTATACGATGATTTCCAAAAGCAACGATTGATTGGACAGATGACATCCGTCAGAGCACAGCTAGCGGCTGAGGTGATGGTTTGAGCTCAAGCTTCTCAGCCCTATGACACGGCCAAGCAGGGCTTGCGAAATCCTTCCGTAAAGTCTTGGCGGGAGGGGTTGATGTTGTCGTGAG